AAAAAATCTCTTTCTTTTTTGTTACCTAATTCTAAATTTAGATTAATTAATCCAAAGTAACACAGAAAGTCTCATAACAGAAGCTAAGCAGCTTAATTCATTCTTACAGGAAGCTGATTTAGACTGTGAGTTGACTCCTAATGGGTAGTGTTTTATTTTGAATTTTCCTAAACAATTTATTTTATAATATGTAGAAACCTAACAAAGAAACTGCTTCTTTCAAAACTCATGGCCTTTTGTGATACAGTGTGAAAGTTAAGCTTTCAGAGATCTTACATAATGCTATTTTCTAAATATAGGGCCATTGCACTCCCTGGTCTTCAACTGCTGTCATTATAGCTGTTTGGGGAGATTGAATGAGATAATGAATTTCTTTAAATTACTTAGCATATAATGGGCTTTCCAAAAAGTGGTAGCTATGAGAAATCTCCTTGGAAAGCTGTGTGCTCCTGTAGCTTATACAACATCCTGTATTGCTTACTTTTATAAATAAACTTGCATTGAAATACAGCTGTCTTAAGACCACATTCACTTTTTCACAAAGGTGACTGAGTTGAGGAGCTGACAAGAGAATGGATGGTCTATAGAGTCTAACATGCTTATTTGGTTCTTCAAGACATTTTGGTGATTCTTGGCTTAAACTGAACAAATTTGTTTAAAAAAGTACATTTGGACAAAACAATTTATCCATACTCAAAAGACTCACATACAGCATTTTTTTATTCAAAATGACAGGATACTATAATTTGAAGGAAAGTCCAAACTTATTCTGAGAAATTCGAATACCAAAAGTTAGTCCATCTACTGGAACAGATTTTTATTGCTTAAGTAATTAAATAATAAACTGATGTCTATAAATCATTTAAGTGAATACAATTCTATGCCTAGCTTATTTATTCCTTTTCATTCCAGGATTTCAAAGAGCTGGTTATTGTGTTTATGTAGTTACTTATTGACATCTACCTTTTTGTTGAGAAACAATTGACATGTAGAAAGGTGTATTTATATAATGTATTAACTTGCTTATGAAAACCATCACCACCAATGCCACAGACATGTCCATACCCTCCTAAATTGTCCTCCTATCATCTTCATTGTTCTTGATGCTAGTGTTAGATGCTGTAATAACACTGCACACAATCTTTGCTCCTCAAGCTTTTACATGTTCAATGTCATGTGGTTGGCAATGGGTCCTTATTCAGAGAGCATTTACCTCTAGACCAGGCTTATTTTTAAAATCAAGTTTGTGTTATTGATTTTGTAAGGGCAACAAGTTAGGAGGTAAATACCATCTTAGCTCTGTGCTTGTTATTTTTAATATTATCAATAAACCATCAAAATTGACAAGGATTAATCACCTACCCCAAGACTCTACCAGCATGTAAGCATCAATTAATGAACTTCACAATATAAACCATTTGATATTTTGTTGCAATTTTTTTGTAGTATAATGAAAGACCATCCAGCATTCATGAAAACTGGCTAGAAAAGAAGTAGGTTTTGTATGAGAGGAAACAGGGGAAGTTCCTGAAGGAGTGAATTCACAGTGTTTCCAGCGTATGTGGCCACTTCATTTACTCCATAGCACATAGTATAACAAGTGCCTACTGTGGGAAGGCCAGAGAAGTGATGCCCATGCATCAGCACGCCTGCAGGAGAGACTGGCCCTCCTCCAAAAAAGGCAATATCCTATCACCATGCTCACCTCTGTTAGTCTCTGGAATGTTGGTTATCACTCCTTAAGCCTCTGATGTAATTCTTCCATGCAATTTGGAACCTTCCTTTTCATCTTTATGACAGGGCCTACAAAGCATAGTGTCTACCTCTATTTTAAACAATTTCTTCTACTTTTATCAAGTTCCACGTGCAGATTATATCCCTCCTGCACATATCTTTGCCTTCAATGTTTCTCTTCCAAGTATATTGCCTAATACTCTACTATGCACAGCCCTTTGTGGAAGAGGAAGTCCATGCTGCTATTTTCTGTGGAGTATAGTAAATGGATAAAGAAAAGATGTTCCATCCATTTCCCCCTAGAAAACTCTGGTAGTATTCCATCAGGATAAACCAACCTCTCCCATTCTCCCCATTCTCTACTCATCTCTCCATTAACCACTCATGCACCTTGACTTTGTCCAAACCACACTGTCCTGTCTAAGAACTGGCAGTCTTCGTCAACACCCACTTGAGACTCAGCAACTCTCAGGCTATGGTGGCTCCTTGCTCTCTTGTCACAACATTCTTACATGTAAGCCACCCATCTCTACACAGCACACTAAGTTTCCTATTTTATTACCCAAATCATGGTGCATTTGGAACTTCTGGATTCCTCTTTCTGACCAAGACGACTTTCATATTATCTCACTTGAATAAAATATGTTTTGATCACACAGAGATTGTGTGCTCTTCATTTCCCTTTTGTTCTTGTCTATTTTTATCTACTTCCACAGCCAACCTAGGCCACCTGGCATGAATTTCATCTCCTTTGTGAGTCACCCCCATTTCCCCATCACTTTGTCTCTCAGATTCCCCACTCCAAATAAATAAAGCCCTAAATCTGGGTCAGTTTGAACCCTGCCTTTCTCCTTTTTTATGTAAGACCCAGGACCAGTAACTATCTTTCACGTTGATGCCACTGTTAAGTCTGTACTGTGAAATTTTGGTTGGATCTTTTAACACTGCATTTGAAGTGTCATTATTATCATCATTATTATTTGGCTTACTCTTACTGTTTTACTTAAGCTTCCTATTTCATTGTGTCATGTCCATCCACTTCTCTCTACCTGAGAGAAACAGAAACCAGGGAGGATCCACCTCTCCCAATTACATCCTGTCCCAAAACATCACTGTCAGTTTACGTTTCTGTTTTTAAAAATGTGTTAACATTGATTTACTCATTTTGATTGCATGTCCATGACACTGAATGTCACTCTGTGTGTACAAACTTGTGCAATGACACCTGTGAATATAACCTGCATTGATTCTTTCCTTTTTAACATGTGGACTGAGGACTGAACTAAGGTCATCAGTCTTGGATGGAGGTACACTTAGCAACTGAGCCACTTTTCCAGTCCATTTCTACTTAATGATAATTCTTGCTGGCTTTGCAGCAAAATTATTTCCTTTTTGGTGTTATTTAGATATAATTTCCTCATGAGGCTCTCCATTCATTTTCCACTGTTAGTATTTACCGTCTGTTTTTTTTTTTTTTGCTGTCTGCAAGCACCCGTAATAAGATCAATGCCATGTCACAGCTGTTCCTAGGCAGTGGAAGTTTAGGATTAAGGGGATTTTGTTACAGGAAACAGAGCTCCCTGAGGAGGGGGAGGATATTTATAAATGACTCCACAGAAGTTTCTTGACATCCACATAGATGTTCATATTCAATATATGCATGTGATTGATCCCCTTTCAGAAAAGTTTGTGTGTGTGTGTGGACTGAATTTTTATTAACCCATTCTATTTTTAATGTGTTAGGACAATTTTGGGTACCTAAGAGAACTCAATTACAAAACAAATTGCTTTCTGTATGAAAATGCTTTTATAATAAGCATAACTGAAGTGTAGTTTTCTGGTTTTTAGTTTGTTTTATTCAAATAAGGGATTTTTGAAGTGTAGCATCACTAAATTTGTATATCACCTTTATGCAATGAATGGGCCTCTATACATCAATTAATTTTTCCATAAATATATGGCAATTGAATTGTGAGATTTCCTTTCAGAATGATTAAAAACTGTGGTATTTGAAAATGATTAAAACTATTTAAAGATTAGACCTCCAGCTCCTTTACTGGGCAGAAACCAAGCTGGACCTAGTGTCCCCAGATTATTGCCTAGCCCAGCTGTCATCAGAGAGGTTTCACCCAGCAATTGATGGAAACAGATGCTGAGACCCACAGCCAACCAGGCTTTGGGAAGCCCTGTGGAAGAGTAGGGAGGAAGCATTATGGGAGCCAGAGGGGCTAAGGATACTATGGGAAAACACATGGAGTCAACTAACTTGGGCTCAACGGGTCTCACAGAGACTGAACCACTAACCAGTGAACTCTCGTGGGACTGACCTGTGCCCTTTGCACATGTGTTGACTTCATGTGGCTTCATCTTCTTGTGGGACTCCTGGCAGAGGGAGTGGGGGTTGTCTCTGGCTCTGTTGCCTGCTCTTGGGACCCTTTCCTCCTGCTGGGTTGCCTCCTCCAGCCTTAATAGGAAAGGAGGTACCTAGTTTTGCTGTAACTTTATCTGCTTTTCTTGCTGTGTACTTTTCTGAAGGGAAGGGGAGGACGTGGATAGGGAGAGGAATTGGAAGGAGAGGAGGGAGGGAGGGAGGGGCAACTGTGGTCAGGCTGAGAAAAAAATAATTAATTCATCAATTTTTAAAAAATTAAGAATTAGGTCCAGTGAGATGCCTCCTCGGGAAAGCATTTGGCGCACAAGCCTAATGACTTCAGGTTAATTTGATGTGGTGTATGTACAGATGTATAATGACCAAATCAGGACAATTAGCACATCTATCATTTTAACATTTGTTCTCTGTGTGATTTGGCATCCTTAGCCCAGGTGTTAACCACTTAACCTCTGGTGTAGTGATTATTGTACAGGAGCTTTCAGCTTTTCCCCAGCCCCACCCCATACCCTGAGTTGTTGAGCTGACAAGTCTGTTTCTGAGCTTTGGAGCCTGAGATAACTTACAGCAGGATAAGCATGCTACCACAGCATGAAAAAAGAGGAGACAAAAGGAGAGGTTGGTAGGAAAACAGAAAGAACTGGAGTTAAGATTCAGAGGGGAAAAAAGGTTACATTGGCAACATGACTGCTATGGGGAAGACTACCCAGACTCATGGTGAGTCAAACAATACAGTGACAGGGGAATCACTCAAGAGGCAGATGAAGAGTTGACTTAGGAGGCAGTCAAGTGATTAATACACTAGAGTTAATTTTCAAAAGGCCCCCTATGAGGCTCCCCTACCTTGAGAACGGCTGCACGCCCTCCAGGGACTCACCTCTGCAAGATAGAATTCATCATACTGCCTTCGGAAGTTCTCTCCCTTGTAGTAGTTGCTGGCTGCAACTATCACATCCACAGTCACCATGCTCAGGATAAACATGTGGAAAACAGACGACCGCATCATTTTCTGAGGAGGCAAAATGGATAGGACTCTTCAGGAAGACATGAACCTCACCATTAACTGCAATGTGAATGCTGGCATGTTTTGAGGGACAACAGGTCTATGGGACAATATGGCAGTGATCAATGTCTTTGTTGCTCAATACTGGGACCTAAGGAAACCATTTCTTTCAGTATATTAAATATGTATAGGAACACAGTTATAGAAATCTTCAGTTGAAAATGGAAAATACAGCTAATTTAAATTTATATACTTGAATCTTGGACAATTAGGTTTTTAAAACCCAGAGTTCTGACTATATGAAAAAATAGTTTTCAAAATGGGTATCCTGAAAAACAAGCATGACTGCTTGGCATCAAGCGGAGATTGAAAACACTGTGCAGGTGGTTATAAAGCTGGAAAGAGGGAGAAACAGAAGATTTATTTTCCTTCATTGCTTCTATAAATATTTTCTGAAAATAATCCTGTAATGAACAATGACTGTCTGTTGAGCTTATTGTGTGTCTGGGGGCTGTTCTAGAATTTTACATAGATTAACTCAATTAAAATCCACGATAGTCCTAGGATGTTATTCTAATTTGATGGCTAAGAAAACTGAGACTCCAAGAAGTTAAATAATTTTCTCCACTGCCACGTAAAAATCAAATCTGGTCTGAAGACTGAGAATTATATCTGGTCCAAGTCCATTGCCTGTATTTCAGTGGAGTTAACTAAGCATTCAAAACAAGTATTATGGTAGCTGCCACACATTCAATGTTTATTATGTACCAAGTCATTAATGTACATGTTATTCATGCATCTGTTAATTCCACAGCTCTAAACAGTAGGATATGTGACGTGCATTATAAAGAGTTCATAGAGCTTAGGTTACTTATTCAAGACCACACAGCAAGAATGCATCAGAACCAAGCTCTGCCGCCTACCACTAAGTCTGTTTGAAGTCTCTTCTGTGATTTTACTCCATTGTGAAGAAGATATCATCTTAATGGAGAAAACAGAGGGTGAAGGCTCTGGACTCACACAGCCAACTGCTCAGGACTAATGCCATCATATGGTCTCTTCCTCTTTTGTTTTTTGAGTTTTGGAGAGAAATTTATTATACATTCATAAGAAGGAGAGGGTGAGTGAGGTACAGACAGAGGAAGAGAGAGAGTGTGAATTTGAATGAGGATGGAGAGAGAACCATGTCGTTTGATTTCAGCATGGAGATCAGTCATGTGGCAGATAAGCAAAATAGCACAAAGTGGAAGTAGGGATTAAAACTTATGCAGGCTCTGCCAACACCCAAAAGCAAAAACATTCTGAGTCAGGGCATGGAAAGACAGTCATATCGTCTCTTCTTGAGGCTTCTTTTCTTCCTCATACTATGGACACTGTGTCCCCCTGCCCGGTGATCTGACTGACAAGCCTATATAAAGCTCCGGCTGAGACTGAAAAAGGTGTACCTGAAAGATGTTCAAGGCATCATCTCACCCAGGCTTCTCTAACAGAATGGGGTGGAGCCAAGTTGGGTGCAGCTGAGACTCCACTACTTCCTGGTTCTGTGCCCCTGAACAATCCCCTTAAGTCAACACACCTCAGTTTTCTCCTCAGTAAACTGGACGCAATGTGTCTGCTGAAGATGTGTTAACACGCTGCAGGTGTTACATAAAGGTCTCTAGTACAAACAAATACCATTTCATGAACCAGATATGTTTCTGTCGGGAGTGAGAAATTAAACACACAAGGTCAAAGAATTAATTACATTGAACAGCTCTGAGGCCAGAACCAAGGGAGATAAACAAAAGTATATATATCCTAATAATTCTAGAGATATCTGAACCAAGGGCAAAGCAGATTTCCCATGAAGCTTCATGCCCCTCCTGGGGATTGACACATTTTTATAAACATTTCTCTTTGACTTTATTTTATTGGTAATACAAAAAATCAGATTACAGAACTGTCAATCAACCTGTTTGTATGGCCATCAATTTACTTGCAGGAACTACTGATCTTCATAACACAGATAAATAAATCACCTGTCAAGTTTCTATTCTCGTTAGAATTTGCATTGTTATTTCCTCTTTCTTTGCATTGTGAGAGTTAAATTCCACGCCCATCACTTCATTTACATACTCTTTTCAACATAATGTTCTATTAAAAACATGTCAACCGATTCCTATTTTATTAGCATGACAGAAAAGCTACAACTTTTTCTTTCTGTTTTCCTTCACTGTGGATTTAGGTCTTAAGAAAACTGTTATTATAGAAAGGTCCGAACAAAGCTTTCAGCCATGGCTGTCAAAAAAACTTTGAAATTGGTTTTGTAACTGTCATAGCTTGGCTTCGGTGCTGTCATTATAATTAGGTTATTTTTTTTTGTCTGAATGTCTATGTACCTCTGTTGGTACAGAGTCATTAAAATAATCATTTACAATGTTTGATATGCTATAATCATTGTGGCTTGGTTGGCTTGCTCCAAAGTAATAAATAACTTTCAAACATTAAATAAGAATGAAGGCAATAAGTATGTGTAGGAGACAAATTTAAATATTAAAACCAGTAACTCCAGCTTTAATATGAAAGCTGGTAACAGGCCACTGGAACTGAATTCAGTCAGCTAGTGTCAGAGACTGTCCATTAGCTTTCATGATTCAAAATGGCTGGTAATATTGCATCTGCATTCATTCTTGTGTCTGCAGAAGTCTAAGTCTGTACCTTCAATTTTCACTTTCTTATGCAAATTAACATAGAGAAAATTGTTGAAGTTGAATAGGTATCACCAACATCATGAAACTTGAAGCTTCCACATTTCAATTCTTAACTTAAATGTAGGTTCTACCTATCATCTATTTATATATATGGAGACATGCACACACATGCTTGTCTGTGAACACCCATACATACAAATTTAAATGTATATATATATATATATATATATATATATATATATATATATATATGTATATATATATGTACATATGTGTGTGTGTGTGTTGTATTTTTATGGTTTTTACATGTAGTATAAGACATTTTAGACATCTATAATCAAGCTTTATAAAATTCCAAAGTTACACAGGGAATCCCTATCTGTAAAAACCAAAAAAAAAAAAAAAAATCCTTCATTTAAAATGCCATTTTAGTTCACTGTTTTTTTTTTTTGTTGTTGTTGTTTTGTTTTTTAAATTGTGGGATAGAAGAGATGGCTCAGTGTTTAAAAATAACTACTGCTCTTCTAGGTGATCCAAGTTGTGTTCCCAGTACCCATATAAGGCAGCTCACAATCTCCTATATTCCAGATCCAGGGATTCTAACACCACCTTCTGGTCTCAGTGGGTATATGCACCCACTCACACATACATACATGCACAGACATAAATAAAAATAGAATCCTCTTTTTTTTTTTTTTTTTTTTTTTTTTTTTTTTTTTTTTTTTGGTTTTTCGAGACAGGGTTTCTCTGTGTAGCTTTGGAGCCTGTCCTGGCACTCGCTCTGGAGACCAGGCTGGGCTAGAACTCATAGAGATCCACCTGCCTCTGTCTCCCGAGTGCTGGGATTAAAGATTAAAGGCGTACGCCACCAACACCTGGCTAGAATCCTCTTTTAAAGGTCTTTGAAAAAACATCAGACAACATTGGATAATTTTTAGGTTTTCTTTGTTCCAAAATCCACTTATTTGCATAAATGGTGGTTGGAATTACCAAGACATGAAGAGACTATATTAGAATCTTTCCCAAGGCATCAAAATATGTCAGAAACACTAGAGACATTCTACTCAAAGGGTCTCTGGGTCAGCTGCACCCTTTCAGGTGCTTAGAAATGCAAGAACTAAGGTGACTGCCTACCCACAAAGAATTCAAATGTACAACTTTAGTAGGGTCCCTATGTGGTTTTGTGTGTCATGTTCAAGTTTAAGAATTAGTGTAGTAGATAACAATCATTGAATAAGAGGGTAAACTGGGTGGCCTATAAAACTATCAGACTCTTCAAACTTCCTGATTCTAAAAGCTTGTAATGATTGAAATAGACTCTAACAAAGACTCACTAAATATCATTGTTATATTAGGATCACTAGACCTCCAAATGGAGGATGGAAGTTCCTTCCCACTCATCTCCAAGTCAAAGAACCAGTTAGACGAAAGGGTTTTCACCATGAAGGGGCTTTATGAAGCCATGATCATAAAACTCTCTAAAAATGGCAGGAGATGAAGTAGCTTCAAGAGCTAGAAAAGAAAGGGAATAGCATTTTCTTAGTTTCTAAAAACAATGCAGTCTCACCGATGTCTCATTTATTTTTTTTCTCCAATGAAAACGAGTTTTGCCTTCTGATCTGCAGCACATGATAAATTCGTATTGTTTTAAGTAACTAAGTTTGTGGACATTTGCTTCAATCATAATAGCAACTATAGAGTGTTGTATATGATTTTGATGGATATCAGCTCAAATTACCTTCCATGGAAAGGTTTGAACATAGTTTCCCAGTACTATGAAGTAAGACTTGAACTATGTTCTCCACACATCAATAGGATACTGTAAATAGTTTTGCTTCAAATGTAAACAGCATTATATAGTAACCATATCTTTCATCTTGATTTGTGCTAGAAGAGTCATGAGAGAACGAGTGTGAAGCAATGGTACAAAGGCCAAGAACAAGAAATATAGTACATGGGGGCTGTGAGGATGTAGCTCAATGGGTGAGTGCCTTTCTAGCTTGCATGTACGAGGCATGAAAAATGAAAAGAGAAAAAAACTCTAGTTTTAAGTCTCATTGTCAAAGGAAAGCCCTCCAAAGACTGTAAAATGAAACTACATGGGGACAGATCTCCTTCTGCAATTCAAATCAACATTAACAAGAAATTATATCATGAGAAGAGACAGTCTGTACTGGAGAGCTTGGTCTGTGCCAAGCTTCATTTCAAGTACACTGCATACTGATGTAATGACATTATTTGGCCCTCAATAGTCTCAGGTGTTTGGTGTTCATGTTATGCCTCTTCATCAGGAAGAAGCCAACTTCTTAGAATGGA